GTATTTTGACGATAGTTACTTGCGAGATTCTTGTTAGTTTGTTCTCTCTGGTTGTGAACCTTTTACATTCTTCCTATTATATGACGAGGTGTCTTTATGGAAGTAAATCTGACGTTGTGTACGTAATATTTGTCAGGGCTGGTGAACTTTCAAATGCTGAAATTGATAGCTTGATGGTTATTGTGGCGAATCCTCGTCAGTTCAAGATTCCAGACTGGTTCTTGAACAGAAAGAAGGATTACAAGGATGGAAAGTTTTCTCAAGTTACATCCAATGCTTTGGACATGAAGCTCAGGGATGATCTCGAGCGTTTGAAGAAGATCAGGTTCCTTTTTTCACTTCCCACTTTATCTTTTTTTTTTAAACTAATAAACAATATTTGGTTTGATTTATCAAATTTTTTAATTTTATTTTATTTGCAAATGAATAGGAACCACCGTGGGCTCCGTCACTACTGGGGTCTTCGCGTGCGTGGACAGCACACCAAGACTACTGGTCGTAGGGGAAAGACTGTTGGTGTCTCCAAGAAGCGATGAGTGTTTTCTTCTTCTTCTTCTTGTTTCTATGTTATTTTGATGACTAGTTTTATTTGGTTTTAGGCTTTTACTCCAATCTTGAGATGTTACATGCTTTATTATCCCTGTTCTGAATTTCAAGTTTTGGACTCGTGCTTTTTATTTTTTATGACTTTTAAAGACAAATTTTGTGTGGTAAGAGTTTCATTTTTTCTCCCATTTTTTTTAATTAAATTCCATTTTGCCACCATTGCCCCATATAATTTAACTTTATTCAACAATAAATGTCATAAATGATTTAGACTAGGTTTAGATTGTAAAAGCCCAATTTTAGTGTAATAATTAAGGCTCAATTCTGTACCAGCTCTTAATGGTCGAAATATTTGTTTGCCCAAATGACCATGTGATATAATAGGTGTAGGATCAATCAAAAAATTAGACTCTGTTCTCTGCTCAAGACATTGTATAATCTTACATTGACTAATTTGATTTTAATAATCTGGGTATAAGTAGTCTATAGCGGGGTTAGATGCTACACTTGGCTATTCACTGTTGCTGGATTTCGACCGTCGATTTGATTAAATAACACCGTATGTGTAGATCTACGTTTGAAATCCAATTAGTGTAAATTACTTGTGCGTAACATCTAACTACTCCAGTTTATACTATCATAGCAATAATTCAATTCGAAACAATTTGTATAATGAACAACTTGTCGTAAAAAAACAAGTCATTTTCCAGTTTAGTAACTCACATGGCACTTCACTAATATAGAACCATAGAATCTTCAATACTGAGTGCGACCTATCCCTAGTCTCTAAGAAAAACAATTAAATTTTCAGACAACAGCAAATATCAATACAGATGTTATCAAAAACAAATTCAAGATTCCCTGATTTTGTCTGAGTGTGTGGATCCTACTTGCTTTTTAATTAATTACTATTTGGGTTTCATTATTATCATTATTACTGTTTTTTTCACCAACAACAATTGTAAAACGTTTTTGTTCGGACTTGAAAGATTCTTACTTGCTTCAATCAAGCACAGATGACACCTTTTATTTCATGAGCAAGGACAAGTTTAGGAAAATCTTTTATCAGTAACTATTTTGTTTTCTTCTGATAAAACAAAATTAATCGATATATTATAACGAGGGTTGTCGGTAAAATCGATTGCATGAAAAATTTAGATTGAAAGTGGTTTGGCTTTTATGCACAAAACAATGAGCCCACAAATTTTGTTTCATTAGAAGTACATTTTCCATTCAGCCACAATTGAATCTTGTAAGGACAGTAGTTGTTCTGAAAAACTGATTTAATTACAAAACAAATTAAAAAAAATACTAATACAATATAGGCAATGTTTTAAGTTTTAAGTAAAAGACTAAATAGCTTTACCCTGAAGAAAAATACTAATATATGGAAAACATTGTTGGCAAAGGTATATATGTTAAACTGTCTAATCAAAATGATTCTGCTGCTAATAAGTAATAACAAATAATCCTAGAAATTACATCTCTTAATGTAGGACCAGACAAGATGAGATGAACAATGATTTTTTTTTTATTCATTAATTAATTTAGGTGAAACAAAAATGAAGATAAAAAACTTAGGTAAAGTTTGGGCGCAGTAGTGCTGGACCAGCAAGGAAACCAAATCTAATTATCACATGGAAATTAAATGTTCAGGAAAGAAACATCATGACTATGTAATTCCAATTTTACAATGATAAATATTTAGCATACCTGAAAAATAAATAAAAATAAAATAAATAAATAAATAAATTATTGAATGATATAGGCACAGCTTTTTGGTGGTATAGGGGTTCAGAATACAAAACCAGGCTTTTAACAATGGCAGATGAAAGAGTATGAAAATGGAAAAAACAAAAATAAATTGAATGCTGTAATAGGATAAGATGAACTGAATAATATATATATTAATATCATTCAATACAGCAGGCGGGGGACCAACTGCTTTTATATCACCAATTCATTTCATATCATCCCCACATAATATATATTTATTTATATATTTATTAAATAAATTTATTACATTTATTTATATGTAAAAAAATTTTTGTTGAAAATGATTTGAGTTACCGGTGTGTACTTTTTTTCTTTTTACATATATTGCGGCGGAATCTTGCATTTTCCGTCGGGGAATATTGGTGTTTTCCGGCGGCTGTTTTCCGGCGGTGACGTCATGAGGCTGACTAGGAGATCGGCGAAAGCGCCGACGATGTATTTGTGCGTGCTTTTCGGGTTTAGAGAGAGGTAGCACATTAGGAGTTCATGCAGGTAATCCCAGTTCTCTCTCACGTCGTCGATTTCACGCGCCTCCACCATTTCCTGCATCGATCGCCGGAAGTCCATGAATGGGTCCGGCGAGTAGGTGGGGACGGCGATGCTGCCGCTCGAAACGGTGTCGTTTTCCGGAGGGAGGTTCAGTGAGGTGGAGGATGACGTGGATGCGAGGGAGGAGGAGGAGTCGATGATCGAGTTGGAGCGGCCGGGGGAGGAGAAGAAGAAGCGCCGGGAAGCGAAGGCGGTGGTGAAATCCGGCATGGCGGCGGAGTCGGTGGTTGCCCCGGAATCCGGCGGCGGGGACTGGTTTTCCGATGCGGCGGCGTTGAAGTTCTCGTAGAGGGAGTTGAAGTTCTTGATGAGGAGGGATGGGGAGGGGTTGGGGAATGGATGGCTGTGATTTTCTTGGAGATTGTGTTCTGGGGATTGTAGAGATTTGATCTTCGTGAAGCAGAAATTGAGATTTCTTGCCATGGTTTTTTACATAATTTAATTTACAGACAAAGAATAAGAAAGTATAGAGAGAGAGAGAGAGAGAGAGAGAGAGGGAAGAGAGAGAAGTTGGGGGAGTACTTATGTTACTGTTCAGAGATAGTTAGGATAGCTCAACTGTATTTATGTGTGTGTGTGTGTGTTGTAGAGGAGAGAGTTTAGGTAGGGAGTTGGGGGTGGCGTCTTCTTATAGATCCATGATTTTTAATATATATTAATAATAAATTAATAACTATAATTAATTAGCATGGTGGAAAATAAACCAAATATTCGATTCATTTTTTCTATTTTTTTTATGTTAAGTCCTAATTCTAATTAGACCATCGCGAGACCGATAATAGTACCGATAAATAAATGACTAGTAATCGAGACATCAATATTTCCGTCGAGCTACGATAACATATCACAAACAATGACTAAAATTAGCAATTAACAAAATGATGTGATGTCACATACTTGGGGTAGATTAAATTAGAATGCTAGTGTAGATACGTGCATGCGAGTAGGTGATTTAAGCGAAGTCATTGCTACAATATGAGGAGCCCTAGAATGTTTGTGCCTTGAATCTGCAAGATAAGCTCACGTAAATTAAGCCTGATGTTGATCCGATAGAAACTCCTCTGACGCCAAATCCTGTTGGTTATGTATAGTTTGATTAGTAGAATTCTCATTAGAGTAGAATTCTAAGTAGGATCAATAAACTCTAATGAGCTTACAACTTCTTATTAATAGAATTGAACCATTAATTAGTGATCTTGTAGGTAGATGAAAGATCGGGTCGTTTAGATGGCCCAAATACTCATTGGCTTACTGAGCTAGCCCGTTAAGGCATATCACAAAAAATAGGCACACATCCGAAAAAAAAGACACTACCAACACTTCAAAATCTTAGATGAATTTATTGCCGAATGTGTCAAGTAGTACTTTAAGTGTGTTTTACATATATATAGTTGATGTTAGATGTACATACATTTTTGTTTTGTCAACACGAAGCTCGAGTAAATAAAAGTAAACCGTTCGTAGGCCTTTGCATTCTCAATAGCTCGGATGCTCAACTCTCGAGCTGTATACACCCGATTCGAGTGATCGTGTAAGATCAGAAAATTATATAAATAAATTAAAAAAAAAGAAAGAAAGAAAATGGGAAACCAGGCATGTGTAGTAACTGTGAAGAATGGTTGATGGGGTATATGGTAGATAGAGCAGTTTCAATATAATAGACTAGTTGTTTGTTTTTTCAGACTCGTGAAATGCGACTTAACGACTGTAACACTATACGGCCAAAGACGAAATGTGGACCTGATGCCTGATTATCTTTCGTTCATATATTGCTCGATCGATCTCCTAAATACATCTTCTTCTTCTTCACTTCCATTCTTGTACAAATATCACTATTATGGCTGCCTTGTCAAGATCACAGTATTAGGCTCCATTTATTTTATTTTATTTTACATATATTATTAATTAATACTTCCAAAATTCGAAATCAGTTTCAAAATTTATGGAGGGCAAAAGGGAGAAATAATGATACTCTTCATGTGTACATACACTTCTCTCTTAATTAATTAGGAGAATGAAATAAAAAGGATGTGGTAACATACAATAGATGACAATGGCACCACAAATCCCACATGGTGGGGATATATGCTCCCATTCACTTACCTACCATCTCTCTCTCTCTCTCTCTCTCTCTCTCTCTCTCTCTCTCTCTCTCTCTCTCTCTCTCTCTCTCTCTCTCTCTCTCTCTCTCTCTCTCTCTCTCTCTCTCTCTCTCTCTCTCTCTCACACTCCATCTCCCTCTCACTCTCATCAATCTACTATCTC